CAGGGTGGCTCAGTGGATTGGGCCTCTGCCTTCGGTTCAGGTCATGATCTCAGGGTCCTGGGATTGAGCCCCACATCGGGCTCCCTGCTCAGCAGGGAGCCTGCTGTCCACCCATCCCCCCACGCCTGCCTCTTTGCCTACCTGTGATCTCTGTCAAATAAATAAATAAAATCTTTAAAAAAAAAAAAAGTTGCATCCTCTACTGACTGAGTCAGCTAGGTACTCAGAAAGAATGGTCTTCCTAAAGCACATACTTGATCATGTTACTCAGTGTGGCCTTTAAGGCCCTTCATGATCTAGTCCCTTCTTATCTCTCCATTGTGGTCACTTCCTTTTACTCACAATGTGGCACCCAAATAAACTGACTCCAACTGCACCTGGTTTGGCTAGTAAAAAGTGCTGTCTCTAATTCAAGTCTTTATGCCTTTGACACACTGTTCCTCACCCCCACTGCCTCTTCTTTATTGTTTGATTACTTCCTATTCTGTTGGGAGTCAGCTCAAGGGTGACCTGAGAATCATGTCTGAGAATTGCCCTTTAGCCCTCAGTCTTGATGAACTGCTCTAGTTTTCTGTCCCCATAATACTATGTGCTTATTCTACACTTAACCCTCAGGCTGTTCTGTAATTCTCTAGTTGCTAGTCTTTCCCTCTCATTGACTGAGTTTCATGAAGGCAGAAGTTGTCTTCCTCTCTTTATCCCTAGTTATGTATAGTTGATAATTGCTTAGTGAATGGATGAAAGCTGCCATCAGAAGCTATTTCTTGGGTTTGGGAAATCTCTGAGTCCAGTAGAAGTCATTGAGATATTAATCTAGGAGTTCTTGTGTGCTTGTGATTACAGTGCTCTTGAGACAAAAACTTGGAAAGTTTATAGAGGTCACAAGCCAGCTGTGCTAAGGAAACTAAATACGGGCAGAACCTGCTTTTGTTTCCTTATATTTTATTGGGCTGCTCCATTGGCTTTACTAAAAATAGCATCTCTATTAGTGATATCTCAGTGTGAAAATGGTCTGGGAACAAAGCTGCTTTTAGCGCACCCTGCCTGGCAGCAGAGGGTTTGAGAGACCTTAGTCTCCCTTTCCCTGGACCCGGGTAGCCTGAACAGGAGGAAGAGGTGCCAGGTCAGAAGTCCCCTCAGAGGTAGGTGTCATCGGAGACAAGCCTGAGTCAGCCAGCAGAGTTAGGTGGGGGAGTGTTGTGTGTGGCAGAGTGAGTGTGACTTTCAGAATCACCTGGAGAGTAAGGCAGGCCAGGATGGCTGAGCCATCCCAGCAACAGCCTGCCTCTCCTGGGGGGGTGGGAGGACCGGCTCGGGGGCGGTAAGCAGTCATCAGTGAGGACATCCTCAGATGAAGCTTAAATCAGGCAGTGTGCTTGATTGAGCTCCTGCAGTGTTCCACACAGATTGTACTGGAACACACTTTAGGAGCTCTTCTTGTTATTTGTACCAGCTATAACAAAGTTTGTGGCTGTAAAATAGAATGTTGAGATATACTTTTTTGATAATAGGGATATTGCCGTAGCCCATTTTTCATCTGAAGCTACTCATCTTCAGTTTTGACTGCCGATTCTTGGTTTCTCACAGCCCGTGGAACCCTGGCATTTTGCCCTATCGACACAGGAGTGCCATCTGTGGTAGAAGAGAGTAACTAGAGGCTGTGCAGTACATAGGGAAACAGTCCAGGGTTTTTTTTTTTTTTTTTTGCCATGCTGCTTCCCAGAGCTTTTTTAGGAATGCAGTATAGGTGAAAGTGAGGATCGGCTATATAACCCAAGAGGTGTGTTCGTGACGCAAAGCTGTAAGTTGCCACCATCCTCATGGTAGAGACAACATGCTAGCTGGTGATAGGGACAAGGAAGGCCAGGACAAGAGAACCAACATCCACTTGGGAATGCTCATCTGAGTCCAGCTCCTGATTATATTAAAGAGGAGTCATAATGTCCACTAATTTCAAGGCGTGGCGCTGCCGCCAGAGGACATGCAGTGACCCCGTGGGCATTTCATCAGTTATCCATCAGGCCCATTGCATATTCAATGGCAGAAAATGCCACCGATTTTGGTCTTCTAGTTCTTTTGCGGTGTTTCCAAACCAGTCTTGGGGTCAGATACGGTGTGGAAGATGGCCAAGAATTGACAGGATATCAGAAACCAGCTGTGCATTACACAGTGAGACCAAGTACTGCTAGCGCAGAAGAAATGATAGGGACATCCTCAGAGGAGGCTCAAATCGGCCCATGTGCTTAGTTGAACTGCTGTAGAGGGCTTGGTACTTAGAGTTGGGACAGATCCAAAATAAGTAAAAGGCATGGTCCTTGCCCATGGAGAATACAGTTAAACTGTACAGACAGTAAATGTACAGACTTCTGAGAGAGAGAGAAAGCTCCATGAGGTAGTAAGTGCCACATGTCCAGGGACATGCCAGGAAAGAGAAGTAAGTATAACACTGGGATTGGCTTTTGAACCAAGATGTTAGCATATTAGCTTAGCAGAGAAGCAAACCAGAGGACGGTGTGTGCATGTTTTGGGGCGAGGGGTATTTGTCAGCCACTCACAGTTGGTAATCTCTCAGTCAGCAGTTGCTTCATTCATGAGGACAGCAAGATAAATGCGTGGTGTAAATTCAGTTCAAAACCTGGGCCAAAGCCTATTACCAAAGCCTTAAAGCAAAGTATCGTCTGGAGCTGGAGAAGAGGAGACCTGAGTAGGAAACAAGATAAAGACCAGGAAGACTTGGGGAAGGTTTAAATTTCTGGAGGTGAGGGTGGCAGAACCAGAAGTCTGACTACTACAGATTGCCAGGGTTGATGGAATCTGATCTTATTAGCTGGGCAGAGGTACCCTCTTGCTTAGGGATCCTCTGGGATCTGCCTGCCTGGGTGGGTTTAGGCAGGATGGGCAGGGAGGATGGCTAGTGGGCGACTTGGCTGAAGTTGAGCCCTAGGGTTGAGCCAGGTCCTCTCCCTGGGGTGTGAGCCCTCTGGGTCAGGGGCAGGGCTCATCTGAGGAACCTACCAGAAGCACCACGCCTGGCTCATTAGTGGATGTCTGGGAAGGCCTTTGAAGATGAAACACTCCATAAGCACTCATTGTTTCTGTTTTTTGGACAAACTAGTACTTTGGTCTCCAGGGGCTGTCGATCTGGCTCCTCTGTACCAGTCTGGAATTTGCTGCAAACTGAGTAGAGTAGGAAACAAACAAACAAAACTGAAATAGTTTTTGAGAAAACAGCTCAGCTCCCACTAAACCCCCATGCTTTAGCTTGTAAACCAGATTCCTCCCCATCCACCTTTCACATTCTTGGGTTTGGGTGCACTCTGTCTTGACCTGTTCCTTCGCCTGCTGGGTTTGGGGTGTGTGTGTGTGTGCCTCTAGTTCCCAGACTCTGTAGAGAATGCCAGCAGCTGGCATATGGTGATTGCTGAATAAGCTGCCCGCTGACGCATGTCTCCTGCAGGCACAGAGAACTGGCTGGCATGGGCGATTCTGAAGCCCTGTTTCATTGTCTCAGAGATGCATTTCTGTGGCTGTCTTGTGCCATAGAGAAGGGAGGGAAGAGGAGAGGGAATGAGTGACTCTAGGATTCTGTCTTCGGGGGCAATAGGTGGGGTGGGAAGATGGGCATTTTGTAGCTTCATAGTGCTTCTTACTGCCATTTTTGTATTTTCCACAGATCTTAGTTAAGATCCTAGTATGCATCAGGCGTAAGCTTCCAGTCCATCTGAGAGAGCTGCTTAGTAAGGTCAGTATTAGACCCTGGAAGTTTTAGTTCATTTGTTCAACTGCTGTGTACCAGGCCCTCACTATTGAAGCTACTGGGAACACAGCAGTGAATAAAGTAGATAAGGAGCCGACATTGTAGTAGGAGAAAAATAGTACAGCAAGAAACAAATATGTGATGTATCCAGTGGTGCTAAATGCTATGAAGAAAAATGTGGGATAAATGGGGTGAAGAGTGATGTGTGTGTGTTAGAAGTGGTTGTGGAGGGCCTCCTTAATAAGGTGATCCTCCAGTGGATACCTGAAGGAAGTGAGGGGATACTCTGTGAAGGTTCTCTGGGAGAGGAACATTCAGGGCAGAGCAAATAGCAAGCTTTGAGGCAGGAAAGTGTTGGGAAACTGAAATGGAGTAAGCCAAGGGAAAAGTAGTAGGAGAGAAGCAGGGTAATGCAGATCGTGCAGGACCTGGTAAGCCACGGTATGGCTTTGGATTTTACTGAAAGGAAGATAAGAAGCCAAGAGAGGGTTTTGAACAGAGAAGCAGCATGACCTGATTTTGGTGTTAAAAGTAGTCTGGCTGCTGTATGGGGAATAGACTGAAGGGGGTTAGGGAGAAGGCAGGGAGTGAGGTGGCTGCCTCATTGCAGGTGAGAATGTGGAGGAGCTCTCCTTGGATAGGCCACGGTGAGCCTGGGAGTGAGGGTTAGCCTAGGTGCTCCGTTGTATGAATAGGGCACAACTTGACCTTATTTCTTCCTGATTAATTATGGTATGTGGAAGGAGGGTGGAATTGTAGGCATATAGAAAGGGAAGAAGTGGGGTCTCTTGATTGAGCATGGACCTTGGGAACCTGACAAGCCTGAACTTTGTCAGGGGTCACAAAGAGCCACTCCTCATTCCGCTCCTTCCTCTTTCAGCCTTGCCAGGAGTCTCAGGGTAAGTTTGGGGGAGGGAGGGGCATTCATGGTCTTGCAAGGCTTGTATGGTATAGAGTGAGAGAATTGAAGGGACTTCAGAAGTCATCTAGTTCAATCCCCTCCATTTATAGGGGCAGATATGGATAGGGAGAAAAGCTCATCCAAAGTCCCACAGGTACATTGTGGCAGAACAGGTGTCCTGAGTGTTCACGGCTTTGTTTCTGCTCCCAAAGACTCAGGATGTGTCTGAGTGGGACTTGATCTTCATAGCTTGTTATAAATTTCAGCCATGACTTTGACAAATCCCATTTACATGAAATCCTGACTAGCAGATGGTGGTAATGAATGTGTCTCTTTGCCTAGGATCGTGTTCTCCATACCAGGGCCCGGGCCAAAACCAGACTGCCACTCCTGCACTTGAGCCCTCCTGTCCTCAGAAAGTGGTTGCTGTGATCATGGGTAATATCTTCGGAAACCTTCTGAAGAGCCTGATTGGGAAGAAGGAGATGCGCATTCTGATGGTGGGCTTGGATGCTGCAGGGAAGACCACCATCCTGTATAAGCTGAAACTGGGCGAGATCGTCACCACCATCCCCACCATTGGTAAGGGCACAGCTTAGATGGAGGCTTTCATGCCAACAGCTGGGCCAGGCAAGGGCCTATTCCTAGATCCCCCACCTGGCCACCAGGCAAGTCCATGCAACTTGGGGGGATTCAGGGAAGGATGGTTATTTAGCTTACTAGCAGGTGCTGGGGCTGCCGTTTTCCCACCTCCCCAGGCCCTCTCTGATGCGGGAACTTCCGCAGCCTGGCACTGAACAGTTGCCCTCAGGCACTGAGCTGGTTTGTTCTCTGTGTTGTTTAGAAAGCGGGTGAAAGGCTTTGATGTTCCTGCCAGAGGCCAGGAGTTGTTTCAGTTTAGATCCTCAGTGGCCCTGATCCTGGTTAAGACCTGCCTGTGCGAGGGAGAACGTTTGCCTTCCAGATGGGGCTCCAGATCGTCTTTGTCCACTGGTTCTGCATTTGGGCCTCCGGGACTAGAGCTCACTTTTCCCTCACTGTGTTTCCCAAGGCCTACATTTTAGCTGCGGCAGACTGTGATGGCTGAGGTACAGGAGTGGGGCTGAGTCATTTCTTTGCAGGAGGGAGAGGCAAAGACAGAATGAGTGGAGGTTAGCTTACGTTACCAAGGGGATTGTGAACCTCCTGGCTGGCCCTCTTGGTCCTCTTCCATTTTTTCTCTAGGGTTTTCTTTTTGGCCTTTAGGCTACTAGGTCAGGGGATACTAGGCCTGAGGAAGCCTTAGTTTTCTTTCCTTTGCTAGGATCAGAGCTGTGCTGGGGGAAACAGAACAAACCACTGGGGTATTGTTTGCAGGGGTATTGTCCACTGCCATTGTCTGTTTTTTCCAAAGGGTTCAACGTGGAGACAGTGGAGTACAAGAATATCAGCTTCACAGTTTGGGATGTGGGTGGCCAGGACAAGATTCGACCTCTCTGGAGACACTACTTCCAGAACACCCAAGGTACGGCATACGAATTGCCCAGCTGGACATGGGTTGGTTTGGTGTGAGCAGAAGGTGTGGCCGTCATTCTTGGTTTTGGCCAACCAGTCCTCACCCTGCCGCAGCTCCTAGAGGTGGGAGAACAGGAGGAAAGGGAGCACATATTTGGAGGTGTACGGAGGGTGGTGTTGGCATTTGGTTGTAGGGATGAGGGGAGTTCATCTGCTGTCTTACGCAGCCCATGCTCTGCCTCCCTAGGCTTAATATTTGTGGTCGACAGTAATGATCGGGAGCGAGTAAATGAGGCCCGGGAGGAGCTTATGCGGATGCTGGCGGAGGATGAGCTCCGGGATGCGGTACTCCTTGTCTTTGCAAACAAACAGGTGAGACTTCTCCCCACCTGTGGATCTGAGAGAGGTCAGCCTGGCTATGGAAGTCATGGGTGTTGGGGCTCATTGTAGGGGAAGCCCTGTGACTGTGTTGTGAGTTTTGGAAGTGGGGGAAATATGATTACCTGGCTTATTGATGTTCCTCTTCTTGTCCCCTACCCAGCTTTAGTCAGCAACACTTCTGTCCTCAGGGATTGGGGTGGGAGATACCTTAGATCCCTCCTTCATCTTCCCTGTTGCAACTGCCCTCACTCCTGCAGTTAGACAGACCTGATTCTTTGTCCCATCTGAATCACCTCTTCACTTCCCTACCAACCCCATATTTGGTTTGCAGCTCCCCAGTGGAATGACCTTTAGCGCTTAGATCTATGGTTCTGGGATGATTAAATCCAAAGCAGCTTTTTCGGACCTGGGTTCTGGTACCTACAATGCCGGAGGAGGAGAGGGTGCTGGTACACATTGCTTTGGTAGATTGGTGCTCTAGAAGCCTTTGAAAGATCCTGAGCCTCCTTTTTGTGTGTCTCCCTCGTGCTCCAGGATTTGCCTAATGCTATGAACGCTGCTGAGATCACAGACAAGTTGGGCCTGCATTCCCTGCGTCACCGCAACTGGTACATTCAGGCCACCTGTGCCACCAGCGGGGACGGGCTGTACGAAGGCCTGGACTGGCTGGCCAATCAGCTCAAAAACAAGAAGTGAGAGCCAGACAGCCCTATCCGACCACCCCCCCTCCCCCCGACGCACCTACTGTCTCCCTGCCCCAGCCCTGCCCCTTCCTTCCCGTTGCCAGTGTGGCCAGGGCCCTGGGTATCATGTCCGCATGCCCAACAAGAGCCTTGCCCCCTGCCTCCCCTCCACTCCCCTGTCCATGACCAGTCCCCAGTTGCTGTCCTGATGATGAATCATTCCAATTTATCGGATTTAAAACAAAAACAAGGTTGTTATGGTTTCATGGGTGGCCCCCCCCCCATCCTCTGGGGTTTGGGAGGGGGGGTGGGGTGGGGTATTCTCTCCGTTGGCTTCGTTTGGCTCTGGTTGCTGTGCTCTTGGCACCTCGGTCCCTTCCCGCTCCCCACAGCTTCCTCTCCTACTCCCCATCTTCCTTTCCTTTGCCCCTCTTTTCCTGTTCTACATGGAAATTGCACGGGCCTCTCTGTGTGTGCGTGCGTGGGTGCGCGTGTATATACGTGTATAGAGAGATGTATATGCAGGGGGAAGGGTGGAGGGGTGGGGTGAGACTCGGTGCTGGGGGCCAGGTCACACTGCCCACTCCAGTCTATCATTTGCCCCTCCCGTGCTGGTGAGATAAAGGGAAGAAGGTAGAGGGAAGGCTGCCGCAGTCTTGCACTGGTTCCTCTCCTCTCTGCGGGTAGGTTTTTCCAGATGATAGGACGGGTGATGGATTTTCCACCACCGTCTTCCTTGTACCCCTCTCTCCACCCCGTTCAGGGCAGGGGGTGGTGTTTATAGCTAGATGACTGTTCCCAAGGAGATGCCATTCTGCCCTGCCTTGTCAGTGGGAAGGAGAGAAGAGCCCACTCACTCTTACCAGCCCAGTATTCAGCTGATCCTCCTCCTCATCCTTAGATTGGTTCCTCAGGAGCCTGTGAGGAGGATGGGCGGGGGGGGCTGAGCAAGACCATGGGGTATGTTTGGGATCCAGGGCACCAGGCGGGTGGGCCTCAGGTTTTCCGTCTTCATCCTTTTGTGTTGTTAGAAGAAGGTGAGGCATGGATCAGTCTACTCTTGCCTTCCCATGCCCCCCCTTCCTCATCTTCTGATCTCGGGGACTGGGTGGTTCATCTGTCCTTTGTCAGAGTGTCCTCACGCTAGTAGTCCTGCTGACCTGACCAGGGCTGGCTGGGTGGTTTAATGGGGAGCAGGGGAGTGGGGCTGACATGGCAGGCCTCAGTTTCAATTCCCCTGTTCTCCATTTCTCTCTTTTTTTAGTCTGGGATGTGCTGAAGGCTGAAAATTTTCTTTTCTGTTTTTAGACCCTCAGACTATCCTGCAGTCCCTCCTCACACCACCCCAGCAGTTTTCTTCTGCCCATTTCAGCCCCTTCCCCTGAATCAGTTTGAGGCTTGGAGTGGAGGAAATTAGAACTCTGAAGTAGTTGTTGGTGCTGGTGGGATGTAGTGGTCTTCAGGTCCTCCCACCATTATGTAGTTGTTCAGAAGCTGCTGCTACTGCGTCTCTCTGTTTACGGGGGGCGCTTGTCCCTGAGGTCCTGGCCTGGGTCCTGACTTTGCGGTTTCTATGAAGCCGTGGCTTTTCTGTGGGCTCCCGTGTGTGCTGGCTGCGCCCTGAGCTCCAAAACGGCTGCCCATGACCTTTCTGCTATGGTCAGGGCCCAGGCCCCCTGTCCCCTCCTTCCCCCACAACATGGCTGAGGGGCCCCTTCCCAGAAGGACTGTCCCAAACCCACCCCATGGGGCCAGGTTTCCTTCCTGCCACCTTTGTCTACAACAGGCAGATCAGTACCCCCACCCTACCCCAGGTTGAACTGTGAAAGAGAGGTTCCAGGGGTGTCTCCCTCAGTGCCAGTTCCTTAGTGATGTACTGTTTTCCCAAGATGCAGTGGGAGTGTGCAGGTCTCCTGATCTCTAGGCCTGTGTGTGTGTGTGTGTGTGTGTGTGTATTTGGTGGCAGGGATAAGGGGAGAGGTGTGCTGGAGCTTCTAGTTCATTTTAACATGTATTCACTCCCCTGACCCCGTGGATGCTTTCCTCCGCCCCTTTCCTTTGCCTCTGCCTCTGTTCCCTTATTTCTTCTTTTTTTTTTTTTTTCTCCTGCACTTGTTGCCTCTCCCCTCCTGAATTCTTTCCTTTACCTTCTCAACTCGTTCACTGCTGTTGCCTATCTGTCTCCCCTTTCCTTGTTTCATTCCTACTTAGGATTCTCCACTCTTGGTCTCTGCAATAGCTGAGGATTTTGCCTCTTCTCCTGCCTCCCAGTCTGACCGTCCCTAGTTAGATGGCAGTCCCAATTACGTTTTTCTTATTTAAGGCCCACCCCTACCTTGTTTTGGGGGGCTCCAGAGACCAGTGGGCCTGAGGGTGTTAGGCAGCAGCCTTGGAGGTTGCCTTGGTGTTGCTCAAGGATCCATCCAGCAGGGGGCAGTAAGTGATCGTGGTAGTGTCCTTGGCTGCTAGGCCCTTGGCAGGGGTGGTCCTTGCTACAGTCCCATTCTCCTAAAAGCTCTTTTCGGATTGGGTTTCTCATTCCATTTTTGCCTGCTCCCTCCCACACTCTGCTCTGGTAGATTTAATTTTATGCTTTCCTCTGTTTCAGCCTTTCTTTTCCCCTAGAGATTCCCCTCTGTCCCCCTCCCCTCCGAAGTTTGTTTTGTGGTGTTACAGTGGTAACTGCAGTCCTGGTTTTTCTCTTCTTTTTTTTCCCCCTCTGGAATGTAGACTGTATATGTTTAATAACTCACCTTCTCTCTCCTTGCCCAAAATGTGGGATACGCGATGACTGTGACCCTGGTTGGAAATTAAACTTGTTTTATGCAGCTTTGGAGCAGACCTTCATCCTTGATGTGCAGCAGCCATTGGGCAGTATTTTAATCGTGAGGGTATTCCTGTCTCTGGTCCCTCTCTCTAGACTGCTCCTTCTCTCAGCAGAGGGGTAAAGGGTACACTTGACAGGGGGAGAGTGAGGTTATGGAGGGACTTAGGCTTATTTCTACACTGCTTACTACTTTCCATCATACTCTGAAGGGGAGCCTAAATGAATTGGGCACCAAAATGTGAGGGCTTCGTGACTGTGCTCTTTTAGTTGTAAAGGCTTTCATCCTGTTCTTAGCCTTATTTATCACCTGTTGGTAGTCATTAGGGACTTCAGTGGCTAGAGGGCCCTGAACTTGGAGTGACCCACCCTGCCTCCACTCTCAGATCTCCCCAGCCCTGTGCAATCAGGGGCTTCTGGTTGGAACAGGGTTCCCTCATCCATAGATTGGAGTCCCCTCACCCGACTATTTCTGAACTTTGGCAGTGAGTAAACATGAAGGGAAAAGGTCTGGATAGTATAATGAACTTGATCTTCCTTACAGCTATGGCCCTATATCACCTCTGCTTCAGGCATGTAGTTCCCCATTGTCAGGATGCCAAGCCTCATCCAGAGATTCCAAAGTGTCCTGAGGGAAAGGACAAGCCTCTGCCCTCCTGGCCCACCTCTGCCACTACTCTCTTCCTCTCCTGCTACTACTGTCTGGCTCCAGGAAGAGAAAGAGATGGTGCTCTCCTTCCTTTGGTGGGTGAAGTCTAGGTGAGTTAGGCAGGCGTTCTTCACTCTCACCACCTTCTTAAGCTTTGGGGACAGAGACCTTCCGATCCTGACGTTATGGGAAAGAGACAGGATTTAGGCATACGGTAAGTTTGAGAGCCCCAAGTACCAGTATGAAGAAAATAATTTGTATTTAGTTACGTCTGTGCTCCTCAAAAGGCCTGCTTGGTGACCACAGTTACTGATAAGAACACCCTTACCAAGTGCTTTATTTGTACGTTAATAAGCATATTCCTTTTAGTACTATAGCCCATCATAAGATAGTGATAATGGAGAGGACTTTAGCTGGATGGCAGGTCAGTGGGTGTCTTTTTGACTCCTGAAGAGGATAACCTAGTCCATTTTGCCCCTCAGTGCTCCATTTAAGGTGCCAGGAATGAGTTGACATCATCTGATGTCAGAGCAGTCCCTTGTGGCTATTGCTTAAACTTTTCAGCTTCTTTTGGGGGCACATGGTGGGATGAGGGAGAGACTTAACCTGGAAGATAAGTGTTCAGCATCCAGCTCTTAGGACAAATAGCAACCATATCTGCCCAGAACTTGAATAGCTCTTCAGTTATGGCTGGGCAGAAGACTTGGGCCCAGGATCTACTTCAGAATATTCTGGGCAGGGGAGTTTCCAACAGGAGCCTAGAGAGAGCCAGTGGAAAGCCTTGGATTGGTCCGGCTGGGGTAGAGGACAGACTGTCGCCTTCATTTCAGAGTTTGGGGACAGTGACAGGGAAAATGAGTGTGGTATGTAGGAGTTTCTCAGACTTGAGGTATAAGGTCTGAAGGCTCTGGGGGTTCACTGCATCACTTCCAGTTCAAGTGCCTAGATTGGTCAGAGCAGAAAATTGACAGGTACTTACTTAGTACCTTTTACGGTTCCAGACCTGTGTTAAGAAGGAAGTCTTACCACTGTCCTCGTGGAGAGACCTGGCAATCCATTTCTGGGATGCTCTGAAATCCTTTGGGATATCCATAGTGCAGCACGTGGGGCAGTGAGAGTTGGGGAATAACTGTGTGTGGGATACCCCTTTGCTGCTGCTTGGTGTACAGCGTGGTGTCTTTGGGCAGGCAGTCATAGTACTAGGAACACTTCTTTTCCAGTTCTGAAGGGTGTAGAGATAGGAAAGCCAAAGTCCAGCTCTCTACTTTCTAACCTGGTAACTGGAGGGATAGAGTAAGTATCGTGCTGGTCACTGGGGAGTGATAGGATCCAGAGGCCTGCCTTCCTCTAAAGGTTTTCTTTTCTTTTTCTTTTTTTTTTTTTAAGATTTTATTTATTTGACAGAGAGAGAGAGAGAGATCACAAATAGGCAGAGAGGCAGGCAGAGAGAGAGAGAGGGAAGCAGGCTCCCTGCTGAGCAGAGAGCCCGATGCGGGGCTTGATCCCAGGACCCTGAGATCATGACCTGAGCCGAAGGCAGAGGCTTTAACCCACTGAGCCACCCAGGCGCCCCCCTCTAAAGGTTTTCAATCTAATTGGGTTTCCTGGCTGTGGTTGCTGGGATTGGGTAAGAATGACCCCAAGTTCCTGAGCAAAAGGAAGAGAAGGTTAAGTCTGAGGAAATCCAAACCTTAGGAAAGGGAGCAATGCAGTGCCTGAAGGTCTGGAAGTGAGGAACTTGGGTCAGAACTATTCACCATCATGGCTTGAAGGTGAGTGTCTGCTTGTGTGTGTCACTTTGGCTGTAAGCTGCAGAAGAGAGTGGGCTGAATGAGGGCATAACCATACCTAAAAAGAAAACATTTTGTCATCCAAGGTATACCTGCCCTTAAAAATGCGGCATTAGATTTTGGATCCAGATTTATGTATGCTGACTCAGAGGCTTTTTGTTTCTTAACAGTCTGTTAAAAGTAAACATATTAAAAATATTTAGAAAGCAGTGCCCTGCTTACGGTCTGGCACATAATAAGCATTCAGCCTTGATGAATGAATAAACATCATTGTCCTTGACCACACTGGATCCTGGTGGGTACCCTGTGAGTCCAGGGGGCTGTGGTAGAGTTTCGTCTTCTCGCTGATAGAGACACCTTTAAAGGTGGAGGCCTTTCCAGGAATGCTTCTGATTTCAAAGTTGTGCCTCCAGCCAGGGTTGTGCCAACTCCCCTGCCTTTCCCAGAACCATCTTGCGTTTCTCTGGCCTTCAGGTTCCTCTTAACTTGATCCAAGGAGAAAGCTCCTTCCTCCCTATTCCCTTCTAGGCTCAGGTGGGCTTGCGCTGCCCTCTGTGGGTGATAGTGTTGTCTTAGTTTTGCCTGATTCCCACTATCCGCCCCCTGCCCAAATTCCACCTCCACTTCCCCTTCCCATTCCTGACAAAGTGTCAGACCTGGACTGGGCAGTAGCCTTCCATCTTCATGACACCATTCCAATCACCCCACACATCCATGCAGTGCACATGGTCACGGCTTTGCTCGGAAACCTTCAGTGAAATGTTTCAGTGAAACGTTCAAGCTCTCCACAACTAGCTCTTGCTTCCTTCTCGAACTATCTCTCTCTGCTCCTCTGCCTGAATCCATTACTTTAACTAAAATTGTTCACTCATTTTTCCCAAATATCCGACCTGCTGCCTTTATCCCTTTTTCTATTTATTTATTTATTTATTTATTTTTAAGATATTAATTATTTATTTGACAGAGAGACATCACAAGTAGGCAGAGAGGCAGGCAGAGAGAGAGTGGGAAGCAGACTCCCCATCGAGCAGAGCGCCCGATGGGGGCTTGATCCCAGGACCCTGGAATCATGACCTGAGCTGAAGGCAGAGGCTTTAACCCACTGAGCCATCCAGGCGCCCCCTTTTCTCACTTTTTAAAGAATACCACTTTTCTTTAAGATCTGCAAAGCTGCCATGACCTCTCTAATCACAAGGACTCTTACCCGCTCCTTTAGTTTCATTAGCACAAGTCGTTCAACACCTCCCATACATTCCCTTGTATTATTATATATTGTGTTCATTCATTTACTATTTAATTTTAAAATTTATTTTTGTAACCAAAGTAATTTTCATTGTGGAACATCCAAATAATACGTAAGTATACAGAGCCACATGTGAAACCTGCTCCCCTCTACTTTTCTCACTCCCATTCCCAAAGTAACCACGCATGGCTGCTTAGTGTGCCTCCTTTTGGTAGTTTCTTTTGTAAATATATATACCTCCACACACTTGGGGAGGGGTTAAAATATAAGTGTACTCCTTTCATATCTATTATTATTATTATAAAAAAATTATTTTTTAAAAGATTTTATTTATCAGAATTCACAAGCAGGGGGAGCAGCAGGCAGAGGGAGGAGAGCCCGCTGAGCAAGGAACCCAGTGTGGGCCTTGATTCCAGGACCCTGAACTTAACCAACTCAGCCATCCAGGCTCTAGTCTTGTCCCTATTCTTGCCTTTTTTTTTTTTTTTAAACATAAGGAGATACACACATACATACATTTGTTTTGGAGGTTTTCCAAGTTAATATAGTTATATATGTATTTTTTACAGATTTATTTTCAGAGAAGGAGAGAATCTCAAGCAGATTCCATGCTGAGCACAGAGCTTGACTCAGGGCTTGATCTCACAACACTGAGATCATGACCTGAGCTGAAACCAAGAGTTGCTTAACCAACTACGCCACCCAGGCACCCCAGTATAGTTAGATATTTTTAATTCTATTGGAAGTATTGCATAGCATAATACTTATTCAATATAAAAGACATTTGTCTAGAATCTGTTATATGGGGGGTATTGTGCAGCTAGTACCTAGGGGTCTCCAGGCACGATCATAACCTTGTCCTTGCCATCAGTGAGCTGGCTCTTTGGAGATAGGGAGAAGTGGGGCATACACAAACAATTGCAACACAAAGGAAAATGTAATAATGTCCCCCAGAGTGTGCTGGATGTTCAGAAATAAGTGACTTCTTAATAAGGGAATCAGGACTTTACAGAGGAAGTAATATTTGAGCTTGGTTTGGAGGAAGCGTGAGAGGTGAAGGAACAGCATGAGCCAGGGCACAGAGATGGAAACATATGAGGCAGGTTCTTCTGATGTCAGAGTACAGTTTGTGAGCAGGAAGAGGATTTGGTTCAATTCATAAATGTTCATCAATCCGTCTATGTATCAAACACTATACTAGGCAATGAGAATATAGAAATGAGAAAGATGAGGTTGCTGTCATTAAAAGGCCTTCAATTTAATGGAATAAAAGCCAAGTTTGGAAAGGCAGATTAGGACCAGATGATGAAAGTTTTCAACTGACATGTCATGGAGTCTGAATTTTTTTTTTTTAAGATTTTATTTATTTATTTGACAGAGATCACAAGCAGGCAGAGAGGCAGGCAGAGAGGAAGGGAAGCAGGCTCCCTGCCGAGCAGAGAGCCGGATGCGGGGCTTGGTCCCAGGACCCTGGCATCATGACCTGAGCGGAAGGCAGAGGATTAACCCATTGAGCCACCCAGGCACCCCTGGAGGCTGAATTTTATTTGCTGGGCAATGTGGGGCCATAGGCTCCATAACTGGAGCTGAGCAGATAGCAGCAGTGTACAGAATGGGCTAAAGTAGGGATACGCTAGGGACTGGGGGGCTTAGAGTGCTCTCTCTTTTTAAAACCAGGTAGCAATTCATTTCTACCTCAGTTAAAAAGTGTCTGGTGGAGGCCCCTGGCTGGCTCAGTGGGATGAGCATCTGCCTTCTGCTCAGGTCATGATCTCAGGGTCCTGGGATTGAGCCCTGGGTTGGGCTCCCTGCTCAGTGGGGAGTCTGCTTGTCCCTCTGTCTGCTGCTCCCCCTGCTTGTGTGCACTCTCACAAATAAATAAATAATCTTAAAAGAAAAAAAGTGGTAGGCAGTCCAGGACTGGAATGGTGACTCTATGGTTATCAAAGCTTAGATGACGACTTTTTTTTTTTTAAGGACTTTAGGTATGCCTGAGTGGCTCAATTGGTTAAGTGTCTGCCTTTGGCTCAGGTCCTGGGATCAAGTCCCGCATCAGGCTCCTGCTCAGTGGGGAGCCTGCTTCTCCCTCGGCCTGCCACTCTTGCTTGTGCTCTCTCTTCGACAGATAAATAAGATCTTTTAAAAATTAATTAATTTGAGAGAGGGAGAGGGAGAAGCAGACTCCCTGCTGAGCAGAGAGCCCCGGGCAGGGCTCAGTCCCAAGACCCTGGGATCATGGCTTGAGCCAAAGGCAGATGCTTAACCCACTGAGCCACCCAGGTGCCCAGGGCTCAGACTTCTTTTTGCTTCACCATCCTTGCACAGAGCTTCATCCTCATGGTCACCTCATGGTCTGATGTGACTGCTAGAGTGTAATTCATCTCATCTATATGCCAGGCAGCAGAACAAAGGAAGGGAAGGAGCTGGAGGAGAGGAGGAGGAGCACACAATGACACACTTCTTAGCTGAATTAATTTTCTTTAAGGGGCCTTGCCGGAAGTCCAGGACAATATTTCCAACACTTCTGCTTATGTCTTACTGGCCAGAACTTAGTCACATGACCTTATCCAGCTTTGAGGAAGACTTGAAAATGTAGTTTTGTGTTTATTGTTATTTTTTAATTGGAAGTATAATTTGAAGTATAATTTGTGCAGTGCAATGCACAGATCTTCTCATATAGTTTAAGTTCTAACAAATGCATACACCCATGTTAGCCACCTCCCTATCAAGATATAGAGCATTCCATCATCCCTAGAAATCCCTTCCTCCTGAGGGGACTTTTTCAACAACTCCAAAGAGGTAATGGCTTAATTAGGGTGGTAGCCTTGGGAATGGAAGGAAAGCTTGGAGAGGTGGTGGAAGGACAAATCAAAGGAGACTGGTTGATGTGGGAATGAGAGGAGAATTTAGGAGAATGCTAACAGCAGAGCCACTAACCGAAACAGAAAATTGGGAGGGAATTCTAGATTGTTATAGATGGGATGGATGGAGAAAAAAGCATGAGTACAGTGTTGGGTGTGTTGATTTGATGTACTGGTCAAACACCCAGGTGAAGATACCCAGCAGGCAGTTAGTTGTATCTAGAGCTGGGGAAGGCATTCAGAGCTCAGCGGCATCAAATACAAGAGAGATGCTGAAGAGGACAGGGACCAAGAAATGACACAAGAATTTGGTGACTGAGCTCAATGATGACTTTTTGAGGGAGCAGAATTCAGGTGCCATGGCCTGAGTGGGCAGTGAGGGTTTAAATCATACAAAAGGGGACTGGTTGTGTTGCCTGAAATATTTTAAAACCCCTTTAAGAAATTGAAGTCCTTGGGGGTACCTGGCTGGCTCAGTCTGTAGAGCATGAGACTTGATATTGGGGTGAGGTCAAGCCCTAGGTTGGGCAAAATAAACATAAAAAGGTTGTAAGTTGCCCTTTTTACAAGCTTGCTGATAAAGGAGGAGGGATAGGTCGGTGTGAGGAAAAGATCAGGGATTCGCTCCATCCTTGCAGGAAAATAGCTCCTAGCTCTTTGAAATTATCTTTCCAAAGAACAGGCAGACAAGACAGCTCCCTGCCTCCTGTGACCTCCAGAATTCAAGGTGAATGGCTGGAAGTGGGACAGGGGTGCCCTCTTTAACAACCGCTGGGGTGGGTTGGGCCAAACAGACACTGCCAGGACAGATGTGAAGAGACCTGTATCTTAAGAGGAAAAACCAAAGATCCAGCACGCGGGACTCAGGCCGTCCTGAGTTTGAATCTTGTCTCTGGCGCCACCTAGCTAGAAGACCTTGGGCAGGTTTCTTAACCTGAACTCATCTGTAAAATGGAAACAATTATGCCTACCTTTCAGGGTGGCTTTGAGGATTACAGAAAAGTGACTGGCACACAATAGGTCATCGTAAGTGGGTGCCATTAAGTGACCCAGCCCCTCGCTATGGGACAGAACGGCCGACGGATGGACCCTAAAACGCGACCTCCCGATCTCTGAGGGTAGGGAAGGGCTCCCGGCGGCCTCCTCCCTCCAGGAGGTGGGGACAAGGTGGAGGAAGGGCTGCTGGAGGAGGAGCTGGCGCGTTGCGACCCGCCCCGTCCCGTCCAGTCCGGCCTGGGCTCCGAGGAAACCGCCGTCCCAGGCGCCGTCACCGGAGCAGCCTGTCCTGGTGCCCCGTGCCTTGCCCCGCGTCCAGTCATGACCCTGCGCCCCTCACTTCTCCCGCTCCGTCTGCTGCTGCTGCTGCTCAGTGGGGCGATGTGCCGGGCTGAGGCTGGGTTTGAAACCGAAAGTCCCGTCCGGACCCTCCAAGTGGAGACCCTGGTGAGGAGAGGGTGTCCCGGGGCTGCGGCGGCCGGGCCTTGGTGGGGAACGAGGGGATCGGAACGAACCTGGGAGCGGGGAGGAGAGCGAGTGCGGGAACTGATCTGGGGAGTGCTGGGTGTCGGAGCCGGAACGGGATCTCTGGAGGAGCCTGCGTGACTCCTGTAGTCCGCTCGTAGGTGGAGCCCCCCGAGCCGTGCGCGGAGCCCGCTGCTTTTGGAGACACGCTGCACATACACTACACGGTGAGGGATCTGGGGGGGTCGGGGCGGGGCCCGGGAGGGGGCGGCGCCCTGCTGGAACACGTCAGCGCTGGCTGGGACACGTGGCAAGCGGTTCGGGAGTGAAGCTGGAGCTCCGGGGTCGTCGAGCACGTGGCGGGGGGAGGGGCGCGCCTCCTGCCTGCCCATTTCCCTTCCCCGCTTTTCCGCCAGTTCCGCACGGGCTCAGAGAAGCGAAGGGTGGGGAGATCTCCGAGAAGCGCCAGCCCTTTGGGGCTTCCTGTTGCTTTTTGCCCGGAGGGGAATGCTGGGCTGCAGCTGCGAGGGGGTTGCCGCTGCTGCCCAGGGGCCCAGGTGTGTGTGGTGCCCTGCGAGGTGTGCGCTCCTGCTGCTCTCTCCCCACAGGGCAGCTTGGTAGATGGACGCATTATTGACACTTCCCTGACCAGAGATCCTCTGGTTATAGAACTTGGCCAAAAGCAGGTGATCCCAGGTATGTGACCTGCGCCTCCCATTCTATTTCTTCCCAACCTAAGCCCTTCTTAGCCTCCTCAATCCCTAACATACGTTGAAAATGCCACCAGGACTCTACCAGTCACCTCCTGAGGTTCAAACCCAGCTTCTGACACTCCTTTTGCCCCACACCCCACGGACAACCAGGGATTTGAGAAGTGGGGAGTTTAGGGATTTGAGAAGTGGGAAACTTAGTTGAAGCCTGTAGGGAGCGTTTGATCCTCCTCTCCTGGGCTTTGGGGGATAGGTAGCTTCCTGTTCAGTTGTGTCTTCTTCCTCAAGGTCTGGAGCAGAGCCTTCTAGACATGTGTGTGGGGTGAGTATCAGGGCAGGGGTGGGCTTGGGCACCCCCTTTGCATGGGTGGAGGCTTACTTTGTTGTCCTTGCTCCTCAGAGAGGCAGGAGAATGTGTGATAAAGGCTTTGCACTGGGCAGGTCCAGGTCATTGGGAACCCAAAGGGCATCCAGAGCCACTGTGCCTCTCTGGCTGTGGGTTCTGTTGGAGGAGCTGAGGCATGTGGGGGGACAGAGACCTTTCCTGGTCAACCTGTTTGGTGCTCAGCTGGGAGAGTTCATCATTTGGGGTGAATATCCAGAGAGTGTTGCTGGTGGGGCTGAGGATGGACTGAGGCTCCTAGCCCACCTGGTCCCACCCCAGCTGTGATTCATATTCCTTCCCTCAGAGAGAAGAGAAGGGCAATCATTCCCTCTCACTTGGCCTATGGAAAACGGGGATTTCCACCATCTATCCCAGGTAATCTGACTAGTCCTCTCTGTCAGGCAATCAAAGTACCCAGTCCCTCAGAGCTTTGTCTGGGGCTTGAGATAGTCTAAATCCAGTTTGCTGAAAAGGCCAGGGGTGGCTGGGGCCTCCTCCTGTAGGGCTGCTGCTTTTTTCCTCTTTAGATCACCAATAGGGACTAGACACATAGAACCCGTTAAGGCTCCCTGGCTTCCCTCTGGCAGACAGCACCTTGTTAGGGAAGAAATACCGACTTGAACCACTAGGGTCTGTTGCCTCTGCTAGCCCTCTTTCATGCCTTTTCTCCACAACTCCAACCCGTGTCATTTATGCTGTTGGCATGGCTTCTCACCACATCTCCACCCCTCCTTTCAGCCTCCATGAGGGAAGAGGCAGTAAAAATCATCACAGTTAAGTAATTTTAAAAAAGCAAAACAAAAAACAACTTTTAAAAGCCAAGCCCAGGGATGTCTGGGTGGTTTAATTGGTTAAGCGTCTGCGTTTCGCTTGGGTCATGATTCCAGGATCCTGGGATCGAGGCCCGCATCGGGCTTCCAGCTCAGTAAAGGGCCTGCTTGTCTCTCTCCCTCTGCCTGATACTCTGCTTACTTGTGTTCTCTATCTCTCTGTCAAATAAATAAATAAAATCTTTAAAAAAAATTTAAAAAGAAAAAAAAAAGCCAAGCCCACCCTATAACTTTAAAAGCTGTCAACAGGTCCCAGGACAGATTTCCCAAGATGCAGATCTCTTGCTTTGGGTTATAACAGATGTTCTATTAGCTAAAATGTTTTGTACTTCAGAGTATTAGGATAAAAGTTCTTATCCTAGTTCCAACTTAGAGGAAGAACCACAAAGAGGGTCATGGGACTAAAGAAAAGCTCTTTCACCCAAAGTTCTACGATCTCCCCCTTTCTAGTGTTTGCTTTTCTCCCCTGACTCACTCCTGTTCATTTACCTGCTTCTTCCTTCTTAAGCCACCTCCTTCCTCTGTGATGAAACATCTGTGTTTTCTAACAGTCACATCGCATGGGCTCATTGGTTGGTGACATTTTAAAATGTCTAGGTTAAAGCCAGTTAATTACAGCCCTGCAAAGATTCTGTCAATGTGGCTATTTGGAAATGGGAGTGCGGTTAGTATAGGGGTTCTCGGACTTACCAATGGAGAACAGCCTGTGTGTCTTAGATCCACAGAGTTTTCCTCTCTTGTCATAGACTTGTCACTGAACACAAGCCACATTTATAGATTTGGGGTAAACATAACTATCAGTAGAGTCTGCTCATAACCCTTCTCTGCTTTTGTCGAGAGGAACTCACCATGTTTAAATCTTGCCACCTTCGTAGTTGTTGCTTTTATGTGGCCTGCCCTCCCTGCTTTCATTTAGTTTCGGAGCCCTGGATAAAATGCAGAGATTCTAACCCTCACCTCCTCTCTGCCTTCAGCGGATGCAGTGCTGCAGTTTGATGTGGAGCTGATTGCACTGATCCGAGCCAACTACTGGCAAAAGCTGGTGAAGGGCATTCTGCCTCTGGTAGGCATGGCCATGGTGCCAGCCCTCCTGGGCCTCATTGGGTATCACCTATACAGAAAGGCCAACAGACCTAAAGTCTCCAAAAAGAAGCTCAAGGAAGAGAAACGAAACAAGAGCAAAAAGAAATAATAAATAATTTTTAAAAATTTCTCTGGATTCTTCACCTGATACTTTCTGAGGCTACTTCTGTAAGTGGGAATGAGGGAAAGGGCTGGGGAAAAAGGCATTCTGAGTTGGATCCTGCCTGGCATTGGGGTGGTTGGAGGCTCTGGATCACCTCTTCCCCTGCCTCCTCTTGTCCTAACTTATTGCCAAGGGTCTGCACTTGAATGTTCCCGTAGGATCTCTACATCCCAAAGGTATGGGTTCTGGCCCTCTTAGCGCCCAGAACTCGAAGCAGTGCTTCTTGAACAGCGAGCCTCCTGGTAATTGCCTGGCTATTATCTCCACTCTCTGGGGCCACTGTATTCCTAGTATCTTCCAAATAGGCTGCGCTCTCCAATATAGCAAACATAGAAGGCGCTCATAAACCCTCTTGGAAATTTTTAATAGCAAAATCTTCAGTTCTCTCAAAAAATTGTTTGGGGTTTGAAAAGAGATCTTCTCCTTCTATCACAGGATGTGGGAGATCACGTGGGCTGCTTCAATGATGTTGTAAGTGGCTGGAGGTGATTTGTCACCTGGCTGGGTGGTAGGTGTGGACAAAGGCTGGGGTAAGTTACTGCGATGGTTGACGATGAAGAGTGGGTTGAGCTGGCTTAGCACTTCGTCACTCACTGAGATACCATCCAAGTACTGCTTCAGCATCTCCCGCAACTTCCTATTGATTTCTAACAACTGGGCATGTCTGTGCTGGAGGCTCAGTTGCTCCAGTTTCACTTTGTTGTACCTTTTCCAGAAATTCTCCATCCCTTTGTAGTTCACTATCACCTGGGAGTGGAGTTAAAGAAGAAGGTGCGTGTTGAGGCCCATTCGCAAATGCAGTCCCCATGGCCCATGATCGCCAGCCTCAGGGGGTGGCCTCAGGACCCTAGGACCTTTTACCTTTGTGAGCTCCTCAGTAAGCTCCTCTGGGTAAATTTCTTCTATCTCCTTCTGCTCCTCGGGAGTCAAGACTGTTGAATAGAAAGGCAGTACTTTTTCTTCCTCGGTTTCAAACTTCCTACATATTTCAGCAAGTTTCAGAATCTTTTCACCCTGTCAGAAGCAGGAAGAGACCTTTTATTAGGAAACGGGGTGGGGAGGGGAAATAGGGGAGCTGGTTCCCCTGCTTAAACCCAGGGAAGCTATTCACCCAGATGTGAGACTAGAGTAATGACTACATCTAACACAGAGTGCTTACTACATGCCAAGCACTATTTCAAGTACTTTACAGTCTGAGCAAATTCATTATTCATTTAATTTAAAACGCAAGAGGGGAGGGAACGTGGAAGACAAAAGGTAGTCCAGACATCCATGCAGGCAGGAAGCAGGAGAAAGCCCTCTACCTCTCTCAAACCCCTTTCACTTTGCAAGGAGCCAAGTTCCTTGTTTTTTTTTTGACTGTCCTCTCCTCTGTTACCTTATCGACGATCTTTCTCAGGGCCTTGAGGGTGGCATTACTTTCCAAGGTGAGTTTGACTAAGTTTTCCTGTGATAGTTCCCGGGCCTGAGTCCTTTGGGCTTTAAGTTTTCGCAGCTGGGCAAGGACCAGATCCTTGTCCTTACGGATGTACTGGTTCTGGTCTTCACTCTCACGGTTGTGCATCATGATCTTGCTTTTTAAAATAATTATGGAGTCCTGGAGGGATAGAGGTTAGAGGAAACCCTTGATGAGCTAAAGGCCTTCAGTGAGACAGGTAAAAGGACAATCAGGGGACTGAAATCCAAGGATCTCGTTTTTCCCCAACCAGTGACAGGGTCCAGTGGAAATTGGGAGAAGATGACCAGGGGATAATGGAGCACTTAAAGCAGTGAGTATTTCCAGTTGGCTGCACTCACCTGTAGTCTCTGTATTTTTTTCATCTGTGCTTCAATCTCTTTGGAGCTCTTCTCATCTTTCACCTTCAGAGTCTCAAAGGCAATCTTTTGGTCTTCTGTGGCATCGGTGTAATTCTTGAGTGCCTCCTGGAACCTTCTCCACAGGTCTTCTACTATGTTCTCCAGTTGCAGTCTTAGAAAATGCTTCTCTTCTAGATTCTAGGAAGTGGCACCAAAATAGCCAGTGCTTGGCTGCCTCCAGCACCCTCCCCCTCTTGAACGGTTTATAACCTAGTACAGTGCAGAGGTCGCCAATGAGAATGCTACAAAGACCAGGCAGATGATGTAAATAAGTGCTGTAAGCTAGAGGAGGCCTGTGGTGAACCAAAGAAGAAATGTTTCATGGGCTTTGGGGGTGGTGCAGAGCATATCTGCTCAGCTCCACACCAGTGTCCCCATTTGGAAATGGGACCCAGTGTTACCAGATCTTTTTTTCAAGAGAAGCTAAAATTTTGGGGTTTTATGTGAAATCTTCCCACATTTTTAGTTTTGTTTAAAAAAATTTTTTTAAGACTTTATTTATTTATTTGAGAGAGAGAGAGAGCGCATATGAGAGGGAGAGGTCAGAGGGAGAAGCAGACTCCCCGTGGAGCTGGGAGCCCAATGCAGGACTCGATCCCAGGATTCCAGATCGTGACCTGAGCCGAAGGCTGTCGTCCAACCAACTGAGCCACCCAGGGACCCCAATTTTTTTTTTTTTTTTATTAAGTAGGCTCCATGCCCAACATGGGGCTTGAACTTTTGACCCTGATATCAAGAGTCTTACGCTCTACAAACTGAGCCAGCCAGGCGCCACCACTGAAATTTCCCAATTTTTGAATGTAGGAAGCTTATTTTAAAAATTTAAAAAACACTGTGGAGCAAAACAAAACAAAACAAAACCCATGCCCAAACCCAGGTCTGCAGGATACCTAAATTTGCAGCCTCTAGGATGGTGGAAAGCACTTTGGGACAAGGGCAGACCTGGATTTTCCTGGTTCTACCACAGTGTAGCAGCATGACTTTGGCAGATCATTTTACTTCTTTGGGCCTTAGTTTGTTCATCTGCAAATCACAGGGTGAATCCAGATGATCTCCTTGGTGCCTTTTAGCTCTAAAGTGCATTTTCTTGACATTTTGGAATAGTATTCCCAGCTAATTTCTACAAAATTACAAAATGCAGTAGGGGTACAGGCATTTTCTTGGTTGTGTTGGTTAAGTGTCTGTAGGCCCTCCAGTGGCCTTGAGCATTTTTCTCTCCCTTCTCTCCCAGCTCTTGCCCAGGTACTCTCCCTCCATACCTTGTTTTTGAGATCATCCCACATGCTCTGGAACTCCAGCTTACTTTCATACTCAGAATCTATATAGTTCTGCTCCATGGCCATGAAGACATCTTGTAGGTAGTGAATCTCTTTTTCATGCTGGTCAATAATTGTCTTCCTGCAGGAGATAAGACACTGTCCCTGCTCTGAGGGATAAAGCTTATGGACCAATAACGACCATTCAGCACAGTATGTAGAGCTGTATGAGTGATACAAACTCCTAGGTACTTGAAGGATCACAGAGGGAGGGTAGGCTCTATTCATATTAGGGTCAGAAAGAGTAAATAAGATTATTTTCATCTTTGAACAGGGAATATATTCATATGATATGAAAAGCAAAGAAGTACAAAAGGTTTCAGTGAGAGGTCTCCCTCCCTTCTCTGTCCCCTGCCAGATGACTTGGATTTTGATAGCTGAAAGTAGGTGGTGAGGGAGTTAGAGGGAGAGACCTGGCACGGGCATAGGGAAGCTAAGGCTATGAGCTTAAACCTGCGTTAGTTCAGAAGGAACTCTGGATATTCTCTGTGGGGGTCGTGTCATAAGCAAGGTGGGATGCTCCAGGTTGCTGGCCGCCTCCGTAGAGATAGCTCCTTGACACAGGTTCTGGATCCCCTCCTGGACTCAATCCCCAATTTCCTCATAGGCCTCCATACCTTTCAGTCTCAAACTCCTTGGTTAGGGCCTCCAGCTCCATGTTGTAGCTTTCCTCTAGGAGGCGGAGCCGGCGTCTCTGCAGGGCTAAGAGCTGGTCGATGCTGTGCAGGTGGCTGCGCAGGGCATGGGCATACTGTTCCTCTGCTTCCGACAGGTCCTTGGCTAAAGACTGGGTAGGAAACAGAGAGCTCCCATTTTGGCTGAATGGCATCAGTACGGGAACATAAAAGTGTATTCAGCTGGATGGCGTGAATGGCATTTCCCCCGAGTTCCTAATGCCAGCTCTCTGGCTCTAGGAGAGCTGCTTCTCCTACTCGTGATTGGAAAGTATAAGCGACATCATGGGACCCCATGGAGCCAGGCAGTATCCTAGGGACAAAAGATATTTCTAACAATGAGGCTACCACTAAAAGGGATTGAGAAGGACGCCTGGGTGGCTTAGTGTGTTAAGCCTCTGCCTTTGGCTCAGGTCATGATCTCAGGGTCCTGGGATGGAGCCCCCCATCGGGCTCTCTGCTCAGCGGGGAGCCTGCTTCCCCTCTCTCTCTGCCTGCCTCTGCCTACCTGTGATCTCTGTCAAATAAGTAAAATCTTTAAAAAAAATAATAAAAGGGATTGAGGATGCTTGGAGATATGGCTGCTCCAAGGTCTGAGGCAGAACATAAGAGAGTAGAACCTAAGGTATCTCATACAAGATAGCAGAGCAGCTATGAAAGACCAATAGCGTCATGTCAGAAGAACTCAGGAACCAAGAAACGTGTCTCACTGGAGCAGATTGTATCTTCCAAAGATGGGCATGACAATATTTGCTATCCTGCAACATGACCTTGCCATTCCTCCATCAAGAGGTATTCTCTCCTTCCGTCTCCTTGAATGTGGGGAAATGCTGTGACTCTTGGACCATGAGAATATGGTGGAAGTGACACTGTTCCAGCTGCAGGCATAGCCCTTATGGGGCCTGGCAGCTTCTGCTTCCTGCCCCTTGGAATGCTTGTTCTTGGGACACTCCCTCCAGGAGTCCAGCCATCACAGTGTGAGCAGGGCAGTGCTCGGGGAGGAGCCACGTTAAGGTGTTCTAGTCAACAGCCCCCCTGAACTCCCTGCCAGCTGACAGAATCAACTGCCGGCCGCCAGTTGACATCCAGCCCAGTCAAGCCTTCAGGTGACTGTAGCTCC